TGAATAACTATAAATTAAAATTTCACTTTTTGAGGGAACATTTAATTTCTCAGAGTAGAAAACTTAGCATTTTCATTAAGATTACAATAATGGATAAAGATAAGATTTATGTCCATTGGAAGGACTAATTGAAAGAGCCTTTTAGGTAATATGAATGTTGATAATAGGATATGTGGCTTGAATAGAGGTGTTCTGACTAAAATGTAATTGGGAAATATTTAACAAAGTAAATTAAAAACAGTGTGACAGAGATAATGTTTATTTGTGGTTTTGTAAGTCTTTAGGTGGCCAGCAGGGTGCTGATTCCATTTGAGTTTCACACCATTTGAACTAGAGGATATATAGTGACATTTATGTGGCTTCATGCTCCAGATTAAGTTGAAGGTCTTCAGCAAATTAGCCATGTCTGTGTCTTATATAAATCAGTCAATCAGTAAACATTTTGTGTCAGTACAAATTTGGAGTGAGCACAGGCATTGTGCTAAGTGCTCAGGATACAAGGAAAGGCAAAAAATAGTTCTTGCTCTCAAAAAGCTCACAATGTAATGGGGGAGACAACATGCAAGTGGATGTGTAAAAAAGCAGAGTGCAAGATAGATTGGAAATAATCAATGGAGGGAAGACACTAGAATGAAGGGAGCTAGGGAAAGGTTTCCTGTAGCAGGAGAGATTTAGTTGAGACTTGAACAATGCCAGGGAAACCAGGAGGCAGAAATGAAGAGGAAGAGCAATCCATACATTGCATTTAGTGAAAATGCCTGGAATTGGGAGATGGAATGTCTTGTTCTAGGAAAAGGTAGGCCAGTGTCAACAGATTGAAGAATACTTGGGGGTGAGGGTTAGGGGTTGAGGACTGTAAGGGTGAGAATACCTCAGACCACGTACATGCTTGCACCTTGAGCCTTTCATCTCCTTCTGGGCTCAGCATGTCCCTGAGGGAAGGCTGCTGAGGGCAGCACTGGACATTTTTCATCTGCCCCAAAGCAATCACTTCCATTTTCTAGTACAGGACATCTTCTTTTTCTTACTGCCAACCAACCTCCCAACTAGGATGTGGAGAACGTCTAGTGCAAAGAAGAGCAACACCACCTTCTTCCCATCTCTTGCTGCACTTTTCCTTGGAGGGTAGAGGAATGGTGCTCTCCACTCAAAGATGAACATTTTCACACCTGGTCATACTCTCCATAACCCAATGACTCAGAACTCCTGTAGATCATCATCCAAACCCCATTCTTCATCCCTTATCACTTGATTCCACATTTCCATATGTCTCACCATCTTACCCTAAAGTTTCAACCAAACTCCACCCAGCCCCTTCCACTGTCCCTTCTAAACACCTGTTCTATGAGCAATGAATTTCCCTTCATCTTAGATCTTTTCTTCTCCCATTACTTCCATCTACTAGCTATTACTGAAATATGGCTTCCCTCTGATCACCCTTTCCTGTGCTGTCTATGACCTTCACTCCTCCTTGGCTCATTGATTGAGGCAGGGGGGTGGTATTACTACTTGTTTCCCATTGCCACTTCCAGGTTCTCCCCTTTCCTCTGTCATTCAGTAGTCTCTCTTCTTTGATGTTCATGCTATTCATATCTACCACCCAAACAAAATCTTGGTAGCTGTTGTCTTAGTGACCCTTAGGTCACTCTCCTTCTTTCCTCAATGGGTTTGATACCTGGCTTACAATTTTTCTGTCATCCCCAACTCATACCCTCATACCAGGGGACGTAAACATACATATTGATTCTCCTTCAAATACCCTAACCACTCACTTCCTCAACTTACTCTCCTCTCGTGACCTACTCTTCTACCTCAACCCAGCCACATATAAAGATGGTTATCACCTTGATCTTGCCGTTACCCACGGATGTACCACTTCTGTCTTCCAGAATTCTGAAATTCCCTTATGTGACCATAATCTTTGGCTTTTCACTTCTCCCTTTGCCTCTTCTTATGTAATAACCCTACTCTTCATCCATATTGTGACCTTCAATCCCTTGATCCCTCCATTCTCTCCCTGGGTATCTCTCCTGAACTAATCATTCTTTTCACTTCTCCCCATTTTGACTCCTTAGTAAACCAATTCAAGTGTACACTGTCCTCCTTGCTTGAATCCCTATCCTTCTTTTCATGTGAGCCACAGCCTTGGATCATTCCCACCATTTATCACCTACACATGAGCTGCTGAATGAAGATAGTGAAAATCACAGAAACGTTCTGAGTCCACTACAGATTTATGTCATATAACCTCAATTGGATCCCAACTGCTGCTAGGCAATCCTACTATACCTCCCATTTTCCACAGTGGCTCTTCTAAACCTTTTCATCTGTCCTCAAACCTCACATAGCTCCTTCTTCTCCGTTCTTTGAACTGAGAACCACACCTCATATTTTACAGAAAAAATCAAAACCATTCTCTGTGAAATTCCTCTTCTCCCCACTTCCTCATCTCTTATCACTCAGATGCTTTCTGCCACTCTGTCCTCCTTCATCCCTGTTTTACATGATGAAATAACCTTTCTCCTTACCAAGGCCAACCCCTCTACCTGTTCAAGTGATCCCATTCCATCCTGTTTGTGCCTATGTTTCTCCCATTCTGAAAAACTCTCACTTGATCTTTCCATCCCCACTAACTCTTATCCTACTTCTCTTCTGCTCTTTGTAGCTAAGCTCCTCCAAAAGGCTGTCTACAATAGGTGCCTCCACTTTCTCTCCTCCCACTTTCTTCTTTACCCTTTACAGTCTGGCTTTTGACCTTATCATTCCACTGAAACTGCTCTCTCCAAAGTTACTAATGATCTTTTAGTTGCCAAACCCAATGGCATTTTCTCAGTTCTAATTCTCCATGGTCTCTTTGGATCCTTTGACATTGTTGATCACTGTCTCCTCCTTGATACCATCTTCTCTCTAGGTTTTCAGGGCAATACTCTCCCTGGTTCTCCTTCTACCTATCTGACTGCTCTTTCTCTGTCTCCTTTGTTGGATCTTCCTCCAGATCATGCCTTCTAACAGGTCTACGGAAAGGTTCTTCCTGGCCCCTCTTTTCCCTTTATGCTACTTTACTCGGTGATCTCATCAGCTCCTGTGGATTTAATTATCATCTCTATGCTGATGAATTTCAAATCTACCTCTCCTGTCCCAATTCCTCTGCTAACCTCTAATCTCATATCTCCAACTCCCTTTCAGATATTTTAAACTGGATTCCAGTAGATCTTGAATTCAGTATGTCCAAAAATGAACTCATTTTCCTTTCTAAACCCTCCCTCCTTTCCTCCTACCTTTTCTTTTATGGTAGAGGGCAACACCATCTTCCATTCTCTCAGACTCATAACCTAAAAGTCATCCTGGATTCCTCATTATCTCTCACTCCTCCTATCCAAGGTGTTGGCATTGTTGATCATTCGTTCAGTTGTCCAACTCTTCTGGACCCTGTGGCATGCCAGGCCCTTCTATCCTCCACTATCTCTTGAAGTTTGTCCAAGTTCGTACTTTGACAACCGTTACTACAGCCTGTCATTTTCACCTTTGCAACATTTTTCCAGTATGCCCCTGTCTCTTCTCTAATACTGCTACCACTCTGGGGCAGACCCTCATTACCTCACCCCTGGATTATTGCAATATTCTGGTGGTGCTCAAGTCTTTCCCCACTCTAATTTATCATCATTCAACCATTAAAACAGTTTTTCTAAAGCACAAATCTGACCATGTCACCCTTCCTCTTCTCTACCCAATAAACTCAATGGCTTCCTCTTGCCTCCAGGAGCAAATACAAGATGCTCTGTTTGGCATTCATAGCCCTTCATAACCCAGCTCCCTCTTACCATTCCAGTCCTCTTATACTTTACTTCCCATCATATCCATCGATTCAGTGACACTGGCCTCCTGACTGTTCCATGAACAAGACACTTCGTCTCTTGGCTTTTCTCTGCCTTGCTTGGCATTGTCTCCCTCCTCCACTCCGACCATTGACCTTCTTGGATTCCTTTAAGCTTCAGCTAAAAGTCTGCCTTCTACAGGAAGTCCTCCTAAACTCCTCTTATTTCCAGTGTCTTTCTTCCACTAATTATTTCCTGTTTATTGCATATATATATATGTATATATATGCACATACATACATACATACACATATGTATACACACACACACACAACATATACAAACTTGCTTTGTATATATTTGTTTCCTGGTTGTCTCTCTCATTAGACTGTGAGCTCCCTGAGGGCAGAGATTGTCTTTTTACCTTAAGTAGGTACTTAATATATGTTTATTGTTTGATTGAAAAGAAGTTCCTATTAGAAAGGTTGGGAGGGGCAGGTTATGAAGGGTTTTGAATGCCAAAATAGAAGATTTTTTATTTGATCCTGGAGGTGAAACCTGGACAGAAAATACTATAATTTCTTGAACAGTTTCATCAAAGCCTTAATGATTGGAAGACACAATAAAATAGCTTCCAATCCAGGGTAGTCTTTGTAACATATACCCAGGGAATGAGGACATTGAGGTATTTTATTTGTCATTCAGAGTTGGCTTTGATAAAGTGGATATTAGAGGTGTTGAGAAATGAATTTATTAAGTAATTATCATATTAAAAACATTGTTTTTTTCTGTAATTTTTTTCAACTTTTGAGTTCTATTTTTGGGTTTAAAGTAGCTAAAGTAAAATAGAGGGCAGACTTTGTAGAAATACTAGAATGAATTCTCAAATCAAAATATTACTAATAGCTATATATAAGGGAATTTTGAACCTGTGAAGTAATGAAATGAGATAGTTGATACCCATGTAAAAGTTAAAATACGGAAAAAGATTTTTGTCTTTTTTCTTTGTTGATTTTCAGGTTTATCACATATATATCAAATATTTATGTCCTAGGAAAACAATTTTAAATTTGACATTGTTATTTCTTTCAGTTTTTGTTATATACAATTCATTTTAGAAATCTGAAATAGAGCTTAATCCTTCAAAAGGATAAATACTTTGTTTGTTATCTCTTTTCTCCACAGGGATATAACGTATGGAATATCACTAGAGGCTGTGTCAACACTGGTCGTTTTCCTTTCCTGTCAGCTCTTCCATAAGGAAATTTTGAGGCAGAGCATAAGCCATAAATATCTGATGCATGGACGATGGTATGTTTCAGTATTGATGAACTTGTCTTAGATGTTTTTTAGCTTTCTGTTGTGTAAATCCTTTTGTTTTGTATCTGTAGATCCCGGGTATACATTTTTACTTGGGTCTCTCACTCTCACCTCAAACTTATCAAACTCAAAGCCAAATTGATCTTCCTCTTTAAACTAGATTTTCTTTCTACCTTTACCATCTTTGTCAGCGGTACCACATTCTCTAGTTGTTCATACTCCAAATCTTTGAATATCTTTTAACTCATATGTATATAATATATATGTGTATTCCAGTTATCATTTCCCGTGCTTGAAGACACACCGTCTTTATCTCCCCTCATATAATCCCTTTATTACTTCAAGATTCAGCTTAAGTATCACTTTCTACATGAAACTTTTCTTGATCCTTCTACCCCTCAAAGTCCTTATATTTATTTATATATATTAATTCTATAAACACTTATATATGTTCATGTTTTCTCCTCTGATAGGCTCTAAAGGTCATGTGAGCAAGGACTGTTTCATTTTTGTCTTTCTCTAGGATCATATTAGATAATATTTGTAAAACACTTTGCCTGGCATATAATAGACACTTAAATGTATATTTCTTCCGTCCCCTTTTGTCTGTGTATCTTCAGCTCATAGCAAAGTGCCTGGCAGATTATAGCTGCTTAATAAATACACATGGAATGATTTACTGATTATCTAAATAGTTGAGAGAGGTTGTTGCTTAGAGCACCCTATCTTTTCTGTCAGTCCTCAGATTTTACTTAATTGGCTACTTACTATACTGTTGGCCATGTCTGCCTCCTAGAATTTAGGCCTGATCTTAAATTTTGTGTTCTGATGCCATCCCCTTTGGATTTCTGGACTACCCATATCAGACTAGAAGTCAGAATTAATTTACTGATTGGAGATTTGGAAAAGGTAAGGAGAGGCTTTCTCTGGGTTTTTGTTTTGTTTTGTTTTTTCTTTTTGTTTAGCATCTTAATTCTTAGGAAGCCCTACGAAGTGATTTTGCATAGATAACGTGCCATATACATTTGTAATCCCCAAATGATCTTCATTATTAGTGAACTTCATGCGAAGGAAGACTAGAAGCCGATTCTGAGAAGCCATTCTGGGTCTGGTTGCTTTTGAACTGGCTCCTCTCTAAGTATAGATCTTGGGGCCTGTGGACTGCTTTTTTCCTGAAATGCCATCCTTGGGTTCGGGTTCTGTCTTCCCTGGATCTGTGACATTGAACCTGCTTGGTAGGTGATAAAGCTGCCAGATAACAGCCATTCTTGTCATAGTGCCCTATGTGGATCTGTAACCTTCTATTGCCCTTGTGCACAGCCCCTCTCTGGGAGCTGGAATGCTCCATGTAGGGTTCCTGGGGATGGATAGACCCTCCCCAGTGTCTGCAGGCCTCTCTGTCTGTTTCTCTTTGCTGATTTGGACTTGAAAAATGACTCATAGTAACTACTTTTGATTAGTTTTGTGTTCATTTAGCAAGTATATTTTTAGGAAAAAAGTCAATTTTTTTTTT